TTTATCACAAGAAGAATGAGCTAATGTTAGCTTAGCACTTCAGCTAATCTGAGCTAGCATTAGTTTAGATTTATCACAAGAATGAGCTAATGTTAGCTTAGCACTTCAGCTAACCTGAGCTAGCATTAGCTCGGACGGTTTTATTACACCAAGAAAGCTAATGTTAGCATAGCACATGGCCTCAGGAAGGGCGAGAGGCGGTTTTGTTTGACGAGGTGTATTTAAAGCGTTCATGGGAGACTGAATGGACAGAAGCCCCGCCCCCTCATTTCCCTGTGTCTTTGTCCCCACGCAGCACATCAATAACGACCACATCCACGGAGACAGGAAGGAGTTCGTGTGCCGCTGGGACGACTGCTCGCGGGAGCAGAAGCCCTTCAAGGCTCAGTACATGCTGGTGGTCCACATGCGCCGGCACACCGGGGAGAAGCCACACAAGTGCACGGTGGGTAACGGATGGCCGTTGCGCCACCGCCACGGGCCCCCACAGGCCCCCAACGAGCCCCTGGAGGGCAGCAGCTCTCACACTCTAAACACTGGCTGCTAGGAGGACACACACATACCAGGACCATTTAGAAACTTCATCTGTTGTACCTCCACAACTGTTGCAGGAAAAGAAGCAGACCTCCAAAGACAGTCTGTAATGAAGGTCTGAAAGCGCGGGGGAGTCTGGGGATGGACCCGGGTGGGGTCAGGGGGTCATCACAACTAAAACCTGTGGTCTATTTATTTTGAAGCTACAGACTTAGATTAAATATTTATTCATGAGTACAGAACATGACCCTTTTTCTTCTTTCCGCTGCTCCTTCTTCAGGGGTCACCACAGCGAACTAAGTCGCACGAAGACTCTGTGATCGTTTTTACACCTGATGTTCTTCCTGACACAACCACAGACCACTGAGCTACCACAGCCTCTGTGTGGAGCAGAGAGCTGCCATCTAGGGCACCCGGAGGAGCAGATGGTGGGGGTTAAGGGCCTTGCTCAAGGGCCCAGAGTGGGGCAAATGAGGGTGGAGGCAGGTGTGGGTACTTCACCAATCCCACCCACATTCTTTAATGTTGTTGGTACCGGGAGTTGAACCAGCGATCTTCCGATCACAGTCCCACCTTCTCTAACCTCTGCGCCACCACTCCCTATACAGAACATGGCATACTGTACATGTTGTAATAATGGGCCCAAACCGGGCCTGCTTGGTGCTGATCTGGTCTAACACCTGAAACAAAAAGGTTCATGAAAAATAATATATAAAAACAAATCCTGGACAAGTTTCATGAAATGAATCTTTAAACTGATCGAGAATCTAAAACAGCGGATCAGTAGAATGTTCACGTTTGGTCCCCAAGGTATCTTTTCATTATCTGCTCATCTACAGGAAGTTGTTGTGACTTTGTAGTTGCAGGTCAGTTACGTGATCATCTGCAAAGAAATAATCTGTTTGAAGAGTTTCAGTCAGGGTTTAGAGCTCATCATAGCACAGAAACAGCACTAGTAAAAGTCACTAATGATATTCTCATGGCCTCAGACAATGGACTTGTGTCTCTACTGGTCCTGTTAGACCTCAGTGCTGCATTTGATACAGTTGATCACAATATTTTACTACAGAGGCTTGAATATGATGTTGGGATTACAGGAACAGCTCTAAAATGGTTTAAATCATATCTATCTGATAGATTCCAGTTTGTAAATAATTTTGTTTCAGTTTCCAGTTTATAAATAATGAATCTTCATCATACATCAAAGTTAGTCATGGAGTTCCTCAGGGCTCAGTGCTTGGACCAATACTCTTTACTTTATATATGCTTCCATTAGGTAAAATTATTAAACAGCATGGGATAAATATCCATTGTTATGCTGATGACACACAATTATATTTGTCCATTAAACCCAATGAATCCAATCAGCTACTTAGACTACAAGCATGTCTTAAAGACATAAAAACCTGGATGACCCTTAATTTTCTCCTGTTGAACAGACAAGACTGAGGTTTTGGTTTTTGGACCTGAGCACCTTAGGAATGAATGTTTCAGTCTTTCTCCCTCCTTAGATGCATTAATCTGTCCTCCAGCTCTAATGTTAAAAATCTTGGTGTTATTTTTGATCAGGACATGTCTTTTATCCCCCACATTAAAAACGTTACTAGAACCTCCTTCTTCCACCTGCGTAATATCACTAACATTAGAAACATCTGAACTAAAGATGATGCAGAAAAACTGGTCCATGCATTTGTCACGTCTAGACTGGACTATTGCAATGGTTTATTATCTGGGTGTCCAAATACTTCTTTAAAACGTCTTCAGTTGATCCAACATGCTGCTGCCAGAGTCTTAACTGGAGTTACTGGGAGAGATCATCTCTCTCCAGTTTTAGCTTCTCTCCATTGGCTCCCTGTCAAATCCAGAATAGAATTCAAAATCTTACTTCTAACCTACAAAGCTCTCAACAACCTAGCTCCATCTTATATTACAGATCTTATTGTTCCATATTTTCCGAACAGAGCACTTCACTCTCAGGCTGCAGGTTTACTCGTGGTTCCTAGAGTTTCCAAAAGCAGAATGGGAGGAAGATCTTTCAGTTCTCAGGCTCCTCTCTTGTGGAACCAACTTCCAGTTTCTGTCCATGAGGCTGACACATTGTCCAGTTTAAGACTTTCCTTTTTGATAAATCCTATAGTTAGGGTCGGCTTGTTATGCTGCTATAGACTTAGACTACTAGAGGACAAACTGACCTCATTTCCTTAAATGAATTGTTATAATTGAATAGTTTTCATTTGATACTATTTCTATCTTAACATGTGATTCTTGACCTGCCATTGTGTATCTGTTCCTACCAAACCCAACCAGTCGAAGCAGATGGTCCTCTAGTCCTGATCCTGGTTCTGCTAAAGGTTTCTTCCTCATGAGGGAGTTTTTCTTTCCACTGTCGCCTTCATGCTTGTTCAAGATGAGAGTTCAGTGATGGAGTTAAACTCGAAGCTGCTCCTCAGATAAATAATGTTCAATTATTATTTTTATACAAACTGGATTCCAAAAAAGTTGGGACACTAAACAAATTGTGAATAAAAACTGAATGCAATGATGTGGAGATGGCAAATGTCAATATTTTATTCGTAATATAACAAAGATGACAGATCAAAAGTTTAATCTGAGTAAATGTAACATTTTAAAGGAAAAATATGTTGATTCAAAATTTCACAGTGTCAACAAATCCCAAAAAAGTTGGGACAAGTAGCAATAAGTGGCTGGAAAAAGGAAACTGAACATATAACAAACAGCTGGAAGACCAATTAACACTAATTAGGTCAATTGACAACATGATTGGGTATAAAAAGAGCTTCTTAGAGTGTCAGCGTCTCTCAGAAGCCAAGATGGTAAGAGGATCACCAATTCCACCATTGTTGCACAGAAAGATAGTGCAGCAATACCAGAATGGTGTTACCCAGCGTAAAATAGCAAAGACTTTTAAGTTATCATCATCAACCGTGCATAACATCATCAAAAGATTCAGAGAATCTGGAACAATCGCTGTGCGTAAGGGTCAAGGCCGTAAAACTCTACTGGATGTTCGTGATCTCCGGGCCCTTAAACGTCACTGCACCTCAAACAGGAATGCCACTGTCAAGGAAATAACAGAATGGGCTCAGGAATACTTCCAGAAAGCATTGTCAGTGAACACAATCCACCGTGCCATCCGCCGTTGCCAGCTGAAACTCTACAGTGCAAAGAGGAAGCCATTTCTAAGCAAGCTCCACAAGCTCAGACGTTTGCACTGGGCCAGGGGTCATTTAAAATGGAGTGTGGCAAAATGAAAGACTGTTCTGTGGTCAGATGAGTCACGATTTGAAGTTCTTTATGGAACACTGGGACGCCATGTCATCCGGACCAGAGAGGACAAGGATAGCCCAAGTTGTTATCAACGCTCCGTTCAGAAGCCTGCATCACTGATGGTATGGGGTTGCATGAGCGCTTGTGGCATGGGCAGCTTGCATGTCTGGAAAGGCACCATTAATGCAGAGAACTATGTTCAGGTTCTAGAACAACATATGCTCCCATCTAGACGTCATCTCTTTCAGGGAAGACCCTGCATTTTTCAACACAATAATTCCAGACCACATTCTGCAGCAATCACAACATCATGGCTACGTAGGAGAAGGATCCGGGTACTGAAATGGCCAGCCTGCAGTCCAGATCTTTCACCTATAGAGAACATTTGGCGCATCATAAAGAGGAAGGTGCAGCAAAGAAGGCCCAAGATGGTTGAACAATTAGAGGCCTGTATTAGACATGAATGGGAAAGCATTCCTATTTCTAAACTGGAGAAACTGGTCTCCTCTGTCCCCAGTCGTCTGTTGAGTGTTGTAAGAAGAAGGGGGGATGCCACACAGTGGTAAAAATGGACTTGTCCCAACTTTTTTGGGATTTGTTGACGCCATGAAATTTGGAAACAGATTTTTCCCTTAAAATGATACATTCTCTCAGTTTAAACTTTTGTTCTGTGATTTGGGTTCTATTCTGAATAAAATATTAGATGTTGGCACCTCCACATCATTGCATTCACTTTTTATTCACAATTTGTTTAGTGTCCCAACTTTATTGGAATCCGGTTTGTATATGAATACAACAAAGTCCATGCTCAATAATCCAGGTATACAATCCAACATTTTTCCGTCAGGTCATCTGGACAGTCTCTTTTTTTGTGCTGAAACGTTTCACCTTCCATCCACAAGGCTTCATCAGTCAAGGAAACACACAACAAAACTGATTCTTCCCCCAACAGCTTACTCCAAAGTGGAAACTGTCCAGATGACCTGACTGAAAAATGTTGGATTGTATACCTGGATTATTGAGCATGGACTTTGTTGTTTTCAACCAGTTTGACAAGACTGTCAACAAGGAAGAGGGCCGGCAATGGAGGAGGGGGCGTACTAAAGAGACCATCTTATCACAAGCAGAACTGGTTTGTTCCACTTTGGAGTAAGCTGTTGGGGGAAGAATCAGTTTTGTTGTGTATTTCCTTGACTGATGAAGCCTTCTGGATGGAAGGTGAAACGTTTCAGCACAAATAAAAGAAACTGTCCAGATGACCTAACTGAAAAATGTTGATTATATATGAATGATTCTGTTCAGTCACTGAGACGACTTCTGTTGTGACTTGAAGCTTTAGAAATAAACTGAATTGAATTGTAGAAACTTTATCGGTCTTTGTTAACCAACACAGGCTTGTTCTCCTTCAGTTTGAGGGCTGCTCCAAGGCCTACTCTCGTCTGGAGAACCTGAAGACTCACCTCCGCTCTCACACTGGAGAGAAACCGTACGTCTGCGAGCACGAGGGCTGCAACAAGGCTTTCTCCAACGCCTCGGACCGGGCAAAGCACCAGAATCGGACCCACTCTAATGAGGTATGGACTGTTTAATAGAGCTCTGTCAGATTTTATCCCAGAGTCGGGTCAGTTGAGGTAACAGACAGGAAGTCGCTCAGACAGGAAGTCGCTCAGACAGGAAGTCGCTCAGACAGGAAGTCACTCAGACAGGAAGTCACTCAGACAAGAAGTCACTCAGACAAGAAGTCACTCAGACAGGAAGTCACTCAGACAGGAAGTCACTCCCAGGTCTGATCAGTACCGTTGTGGGTCGGCTCAGAACCAGTGTCTGGCTCGGGTTCTGCAGATGTTTGGGAGTGAATGATGAGCTGCTGAATGTAATGAGCACAACTTCCCATAATGCATTTTGCGAATCATGTTCCTGCTCGTAGCGAGCGGACCACCTGCGGACTCTGCAGAGACAAATGTTGTCCTGGAGATGGTCCAGCTGTTTCAGGGCAGAAACTCAAACAACAGCAGGTCCTGGTCCACATTCAGCATTAGAACCGATCTCTCTCAGACTAAGAGAAAAGCTGACCCAAGTTGCTGTTTGTTTTGGTGTTCTGATCCATCTAGATCGATCGGATCCATCAGACAGTAATGAAAACAGACCTGCAGGACTGATGTTCTGGTACTGACGAGTCCAACCGGGTCAGGGTTAGCTGAAACTGGTTTGTGTAGTATCTTTCAATGTCCTTAATGAGACCTCTGTACTGATGCTTCCTAAGGTGGTGGGGGTTGGGGGGGGGGGGGGGGATACAGGACTTTGAGGTGCTCCTGTGCCTCACAGCATGGTGGTGGACAAAGCGTCCTTCATCCAGACTACCTGTCAGTCCAGCAGTGGACAGTTCAGGACACGAGGTGCTGGTCAACTTGTACCGAAGTCTTCATCTCCTACCGTTTATCTGTAGTCCAGTTGCAGAGGCCACAGGTCCAGGACAGAAACTCAGACCTCCCTGTCCCCAGAGATGCTCCAGCTCCTCCTGGGAGACCCCAAGGTGTTCCCAGACCAGACAAGATCTATTTTCCCTGCAGAGTTCTGGGTCTGGCCTGGGGGTCCAGGAGGCATCCTAACCAGATGAACATCCTCAGATGTAGAAAAGCAGCAGCTCCACTCCAAGCTCCCTCCCCAGATCATAGAGCTCCTCCTCCCTCTAAGGCTGAGCTCCGAACCCTACGAAGGAAGATCTGGATCCAGGATCTGGTTCTTTCTCTCCTGATCCAAACCTCGTGACCACAGCTGAGGGTTGGAACGTACAGACCAGATTGTCTCAACTCCTTCTTCACCACAATCAACAAAAGCAACACCCCATACTGAGGACGAGGCCCTGTGGATCTACCCCCGCTCCATAACTCAGGAACAGAACCCCCAGATACTCCTCCACCTGAGACAACCAGTCCCCCTGACCCAGAGGGGACATTTCACCCTACAAATCAAAGAAACCACTTCTGGTTTAGAACCGTGGCCTGGGACTTATGGCCCTTTTCCATTTCCATGGTACAGCATGATTCGACTCAACACAGTTCCAAGGCTTTTCTACTAGTAACGGTTTGTGGAACCAGTCCCTTTCTCAGTCCCTTTTTTTCTGGGGTTTCAAGCTGGCCGAACTGGCCTAAAACGTGACGTCAGAGCACTGTTGGTCACTGATTGGTCAGGGGGTGAAGTCACTGGTTGTTTGAGAAACTTTCACGACAACCCAATCCGCCATTTGCAATAACTCAAACTTGAGCAGCGACTGGACTTATTTTAAAGATTTTAAAAACAATAATGACAACACCGTGCTCTAATGCTGAAGTGCAGGCATTTTTTTGTGCTTGGTGGCCCACGACAAAATTCAGAGCAAGCTAGATAGAGCTCTGCCGGTCCCCCAGGTCCTCTCCACTGGAGCCTATAGGAGTCCCCTCAAGCCGGGCAGGGTATCATCTCCCCATCTCTGAACTCTGCCGGTCACCGTGGAAGATCCTCTGTGCTGCCGACCCACAGGAGAACGCAAGGCCAGGGTTTGGGCGGGTCCTAACCCTAACCCTCACTCAGATAGCCCCCACCCCCCAGCCTTAGTCCTGATAAGTGATGGTGCAGTGTTTATCAGACGGCTCAGTAGAGCTCTGACCCAGGTCCATGTCCTTGCGGAAGGGAGCAGGTAGGGGAGTTGGGAGCAGAGCATCTTGTTCACATAACATCCAGGAGAGTTTGAGATAGTCAACCTTACAAGGCTGATGTGGGGGGAGCCAGATTCAGATAACAATGGTTGTTTTGGGTCAGGCCGACTTAATTTTCATCTGCTTTTACAGTCTCATTAGTACATCTCATGGTAACTCCAAACAGCCTAACTGTGGTCACATACGCCGAGTCGAGATTACAACTTCTCTGAGATCGATTCCTTCCCACCAGCGAGATTCAGGAGCTGCAAGTAGCCTGTGATACTCAGCAAGAATCACGTCCAGCTTACAGCTCAGCTCACACAGCATCTGAGTCTGAGTGTTGACAGCGCAGCACATTCCTTCACACAGGCCGGGCAGCTTCACAATGGCCAGAACAGCTGCCGACATTTTTCTAATTTGCTGATATGCTAGGTAACCACCAACTCCAAAAAGCAGAAATCCTGTTATCATAAATCCAATTATGTACGCGTCTTCTACATCCTCAATGGACAATACGGACAGACATGACCTTCCACTGCCCCCAGGAATCCATCGTGTATCCAGCTGCCAGTGTCCCGTCGGTGCAGGAGGGCTCTCCTTCGCCCTGCTTTCTCGGTGAGAAAAAAATTTGTTCAATTGTGTTGAGAGACCAGCTAACCAGATCCATGATTTACAATTCGGAAGATGTGCAAAAAGAGGCTCTGAAAAGGTTCACAGGACAAAGAGAAAAGCAGGGAAGGAGCAGGAGGGAAAAGCATCCATCTCTGCTGAGAACAAGAAGAGGAAAAAAAAAGCTACAAATGTGCTGAAAGTAAAGCTCTGCAAGAGCACTGTGAACAGAAACACATTAGGATCTGTCTGTAGAAATCATATGTCTGTAAGATCCTGTCTGTCAGTAGAAACCGTACGTCTGTAAGTGCCTTTCTGTCTATCTGTCGGTAGAAACTGTATGACTGTAAGATCCTGTCTGTAGAAACAATGTCTGTAAGATCCAGTCTGTCGGTCTATCTGTCTGTAGAAACAATGTCTGTAAGATCCTGTGTCTATCTGTCTGTAGAAACCATACATCTGAAAGATCCTGTCCATCTGTCTGTCAACCTGTCTGTCTGTAGAAGCCGTACATATGTAAGATCCTGTCTGTCTGTCTATCTGTCTGTAGAAATTGTATGACTGTAAGATCCAGTCTGTCTGTTTGTCTGTCTGTAGAAGCCATACGTCTGAAAGGTCCCGTCTGTCTGCCTGTCTGTCTGTAGAAACTGTATGACTTTAAGATCCTGTCTATCTGTCAACCTGTCTACCTGTAGAAGCCGTACGTCTGTAAGATCCCCGGCTGCACCAAGCGGTACACAGACCCCAGCTCTCTCAGGAAACACGTGAAGACAGTTCACGGCCCGGAAGCCCACATCACCAAGAAGCATCGCAGCGACGTACCGCCCCCACCACCCGCGCCCCGGGAGAACGGCCAGAAGGAGAGGCTCCAGAGGGAAGAGCAGACGTCGAGGACCAGCCCCCCCAGAAGCAGAGAGGACTACGTGCACATCAAGTCCATCAAGAGTGAGGACTCTATGGTGAGAACATGACTGTAGTTTCTCTCACAGAATAATCTGTGGGATTATCACTGTGTACAGATTATAGAGTAACCTGAACCAACGTGTTTGATGCTTCTCTCCTTTTTGACTGCCCTCATGGACAGACATTACTGAGGTGAGCTCCAACAGATTTTTATTATCGCTCGTCATACCACACCATCGTTCAGCTTTCTACTACCATTTTACACACCAGTCGTAAATCTACAACTGGTTCAAGATGGCCGCCACAGCAAACCAACAGTCAGGCAGTCTTACAGATATCCTCTGGACATGTCCAAACCAGCTCAGTGTGTCCTTTCTAACTTTATATCCCAGTTGTTCAACCTGTGCTGTACCTCTGATGATCTCATTCCTAATCTTCTCCATCCTTGTCTCTCCTAAGGAGAACCTCAACATCTTCATTTCTGTTACTTCCAGTTCTGTCTCCTGTCTTTTTGTCCACGTCTCTGTCTCCAGACCATACAACATAGCTGGTCTCACCACTGTCTTGTAAACTTTTCCTTTGACCTTTGCTGACACCCTTTTGTCAAAAATCACTCCTGAAACTTTTCTCCATCACTCCATCCTGCCTAGACTCTCTTCTTCACCTCTTTACGACACTCCCCATTTTCCTGGACAGTGGACCCCAAGTCCTTGAAGTCCTGCACCTTTGTGACCTCTGTTCCTCGTAGCCTCACTGTTCCACCTCCTCCCTCTCATTCACATACATGGACTCTGTCTTACTACAGCTGACTTTCATTCCTCTTCTTTCAAGTGCATACCTCCACCTCTCTAAGTTCTCTTCCACCTGTTCCCTTTCTCACCACAATATAACCAGCAAACATCATAGTCCACGGGGATTCCTGCCTGACCTTATCTGTTAAGTTGGTCCATCACCAGAGCAAACAAAAAGGGATTCAGAGCTGATCTTTGATGCACTCCCACCTCCACCTTGAAGCTATACGTCACTCCTACAGCACATCTCACCACTGTCCTGCTGTCCTCATGCATGTCCTGCTGTCCTTATACATATCCTGCTGTCCTCATACATGTCCTGCTGTCCTCATGCATGTCCTGCTGTCCTTATACATTTCCTGCTGTCCTCATACATATCCTGCTGTCCTCAAACATGTCCTGTACCCATCTAACATACTTCTCTGCCACTCCAGATTTCCTCACCCTAACCCTCAGTCCTAAGTTATTGACTTTCCTCTTCTCCCTCTGTCTCCTGACATGTTTCCCTCCTTGTGGTCTTCCACTAACAGTAGCACAATTTCTGCCGGCACCCTGTTTGTCAACAGCACCGGTGGAGGTCTTTGTTAACCGGGGCTTCGACCAATCCAGTATGGTTTTGCTTTGATGAACTCACATTATAGTTTTGGCAAAGTGTTTTACGCCGGATGCCATTCCCGACACAACCCTCACCATTTACCCGGCTTGAGAGCAGATACACGGGCTTGTGCTCCCAAGTGGCTGGTTTACCATTAACGTGGACAGCGACCATTAATAATTGACTAATATTTAAATATAATCAGAATATTTTCAGCTGAGAAGTGAAATAAACTTTTAAAAAGTCAAACCTAAAATGAACTTTTAAAAAGTCAAACCTAAAATAAAAGGGGGTAAAACAGCTTTTCAACATCTCCATGATGGCCTGCTGCCATGAACACACGAGCTGAAGCTGAAAGGCGTCAGCAGGTCGTGATGACAGGCGCGCCTTTCATCGTCCTCATGTTTAATTCACACACAGACTAAGACAGCCTGTAATCTGTGACCCCCCCACCACCACCACCAGAAAAACACTCGTTATCTACAATTAAGAGGGAGGCGGATTAAAGAGCGAGTGATTCAGTGTTCTGCATGTTGACCACTTTTGTTGTTCTGAAGAAAAACAAACTGGTTTCTGTTTACGTCAGCATCTCTCATCATGCACCCCCCCTCCCTGGCCCCCCCTTTCTCCCAGCAGATGCATCAGCCCAGTCCTGGCGGTCACTCATCATGCAGCAGCGAACCATCACCATTTGGCACCAACCATGACAGTGGAGTAGACACGGCGGCGCACAGCGGGGGCAGCCCGGGGGACCTCAGCACCCTGGATGACCTGACGTTCGTGGAGTCCACGGGCTGCGAGGAGTCCTCCGGGGGGGTCGCAGCGGTGGGCCTCTATCTCAGGAAGCAGCTCGGTACCGGCCATTTCCTGGATCGTCTGAAGAAGGACAAGCTGAGAGCGGTGAGGGACTCGTGTCGGTGGGCCAACAACCCAACACCCCCAGTCCACGGCGCCACGCTGCCACCCGTACGGACAAGAGGTGAGGCTGGGGTTAACTCAAACACCATTTTTATCTTTAGTTCAAGTTCAGAGAGGAAATCTGCAACGTTTCAAAATAAAAGCACAAACCACTAGCAATTATCAAAATAATATTGCAGCTTCAACTTCCATCAACTTTCTTCTCTAAGGCTCAGCAGCAAATTAAGAGTTTACTTTGTAATAATCTATGAAAGACTCTTATTTTGAAGGTCTGGTTAGAAACAAGTCTGAAGTATTCAAGATCTTTGAAGCAGCCATGATGGAAAAATAAAACAGAAAAACAAACCGGTATTAAATAGGCCAGGAACAGAATCTGCTGAGTCACATGGAAGTTTCTTTATATAGCACATTTTAAACAAGAAAAGTTGACCATTAGTGATTCCCGCCTTTTTAAGCTCAGAATATGATGAGTCATGTGTTGGCATGGCAATTCCCGCCTTGTTGGGCACAGAATCTTATGAGTCATGTGTTGGCATGGTGATTCCCGCCTTTTTGGGCACAGAATATGATGAGTCCTGTGTTGGCATGGGAATTTCTGTCTTTTTTGGGTGACAAGAGGAAGTTCAGCCATATCATTACAAACAGAATGTGTTGATGAATATTAAGGCATCTATACATCATCAATATTTTGTTTTCTTTTGTCCACAAAATTTGACTTGTAAAACACATGGTGTTAAAAAAGTCTTTCACAGGTTCTGATAAATTGTTTTTGTGTTCAATCACAGGGTGCCTCCTGGAAACTTCAAGTGTGGGAGGAAATACAGCTTCCTTCCCTAGTTCTGGCTCTGACCCACTGAACTCCGATGAAATGACACTGCTGGGAAACCCTTCTGAACGCTGTCACAGTACTTGCAGCACCTTCAGCTCAGTCTACACTCTCAGCCGCCGCTCCTCAGGCATCTCTCCTGGTTTCTCCAGTCGACGCTCAAGCCAGACGTCTAGATTAAGTGCCAACCAGCCCAGAAACATGAGCTCTGCTGACTTTTATGACCCCATTTCTGCTGATATCTCTCGGCGTTCCAGTCAAGCCAGTCAGGGTGAAGTCAACAGCAATGGACCCGAAGGAAGAAGACCAGGCCTTCCCAATCCCCTGAACCTGACCCCAGCCCAGCACTACTGCCTACAGGCGAAATATGCCGCTGCCACTGGTGGAGCACCACCTACACCTCTTCCATACATACATCAAGCACATCTCAAGTCCAACTCAGCACTCTTTGAAAACTCCCAGGAATCCTCAGGCAACAAAAAGCTTCTGTCCAGGCAGTACAGCGCATTATGGAGCCTGATGCCCAACAAAGTTTCAGCTAACATCCCCCGCCGAGCGAGTGATCCCGGAAGACCGTTAGATCCTCTCAGCCAGTTGCCCTTTCAGAAGTACAGGAGCATGGGTTCACTGAGCAGAGGGGTCACCATGCAGCCCCATCCTCCTCCGGCAACAGATCGATGCTTTTCACAGCCAAGATGCTTGCGACTGGGCAGTGGTCTGCATCGACACCCTTCCTGCCTGCAACCACCCAGCATTTCAGAGAATATCACCGTGGAGACTAGAAGGAACATATGTGAAGATGCAACCAATCAGGCAGATTTTCAAAGAGGTCTGAATGTCCATCAGCAGCAGAATGTCCAAAGAAGGATGAATGTGTTAAATCTGAACACTTCCAAGAGTCTAGGACAAGCATGGGACAGTTGTCCCAGAGGACAGTGGGACATAGTTTCCTCTGGGCTCTTGGATGACACTCAACAGTGCACCAAACTAGAGGTACGAGGGAACTTAACCACCCTTCGGCAAAATCAGAACTTCAGACCTTTCAGTCCAACCTCCAACCAAGAAGTGGTGGAAAACATGTCCAACAGAGTGCAGCAGAGATGTCTCCAGTTCAGTTCTGAGTCAGTACCAAACCTCTTCCAGCAATCCTTTAACCTCACTGATGATGCTGCTAAGCCAGAGTACAGGTTCTGTGAAGGAACCGGTTCCTACGATAGAAATGGGAACCTACTCTGTGGTACCAAGTTGGCGAGCTGTAAACAGGAACCAGCTGACATGGACTTCACTGTGTTTGAGCCAGTTCAGGTAAAAACTGAGAGCTGTGATGCTTCAGTTTTGATTTTAGATCAGCAGAACTGTAATTTGGCTAGAAATCAGGACTGTCTCAAGCCAATAACAGAACCTAGATCTGTTCGGCTACTGAGCCTGAAGTTAACGCAGCAAACAGATGAAGGTTCACAACTTCCCTGCAGACATGAAGACAACGTTCTATACTACACAGGTCAGATTCAGGTATTTGAGCCCAGCCCAAACCTGGGTTTTCATGTATCCAACACAGTGACTCCTCTTGAACCTGATGCAACAGCTCCTGAGTGGACTGAAACCCAGCTGGACAAGACCTCAGGACTAGAGCAGACTCAGATAGATTTTGATAGCCTGCTCAACATCGGGGATCAATCCAGCTTTATGTCAGGAACCTTAAGTCCTGGACTGTTCCAGAGTTTCTCCCAGAGTTCATCTCGCCTGACTACTCCCAGGAGCTCTGCGTCGCTGCCCTCAGTGTCGGCCAGGCCGGGGAACATGGCCATCGGGGACATGAGCTCACTGCTGACCACTCTGGCAGAAGAGGACAAGTACCTCAACTTGATTTCTTAAAGTGGACGGCTTTCTTTGGCGATTTGAACTACAACCACAGACTCCAAACTGATGTCTTCTTCTTGTTTTTTCATGCAGGCACATCTTGACGTTGGTTTTAAAGTCAATTTAGATCATTTTGAAAAGCCGTACTTGTGTTTTCTTGTCTAAGGAGGTGAATGTGATGTGAACATAACTGGTTGTCAGATCTGCAGGATGGTTTTATGAAGTAACTGCACCTGAACATTCACCTGTAACGTGTTTCCTCTGTAAATGTTCCTGTCGGACTTCAGTCATAAAGGTTTGGGGATCGAACGGCTGAAGATGGAGTGTTCAGAGATATGAACCCACAGGTTGTTTTCCAGCAGATAATTAAAAGCTTCCTACAGGACATTGTCGTGTTGGCTTCATGTAAAATTTGTACATTTTTAAAACTAATACAAAATTACTTGATTTTTAAGAGATGTCTGTGTTTTTAATCACGTTTAATTTTAGGACTACACCGGTTCTTTACTTTATTCTTTTGATGACATCTAACGATGCAGATGCCACCAACGCCGCCACTAAAGCCCCGAGCTGAGACTGAGACAGTTCTAAAATGTCTCAAAATGTTTGTGATGCAAAGTTTGGACGAGCTGGAGGACAATACAACCAAACAGAGACCCGTTAAGACCAGCTGTGCCTCAATTGACACATTTGTAGGAACTTTGCAGTTGAATCTGTTAGATGTAAACATGTCATCACCTCAGAGAGTCCAAGTCAAACAAGTGGGCGTTTGTTACCCTAATCATTTCCTGTTTGGCTTATTTGTCATATGTAAAATCAACACAAGGTCAACAATACAATGAAACATGGTCCAGTTAGCACCATGGTCCAGTTAGCACAATGATACTGTTAGCAGGGAAATTAAGTTAGCGGCATGGTCTTGTTAGCAGCGTTAGCAGGTCTTGTTATCAGGTCCAGTCAGCAGCTTGATGGTAACAATGGGCAGCTGCCCTCACAGACTGCCTCACAGACTGCCTCCAGAACCGGGTCTGGTGGACGGAGAACATCCAGGGCTTCCCCGCGGAACCGAACGGGTCCGTAGAGTTCGTTCCGTGCAGGCAGATGGAGGATCATGGAGACGGCCACCATTTCCTGTTTATATGGATCTGATCATTTTCTTATCTGAAAGCTTCAAAATGAATAATTTAGTTCTTGGAAGAACCCGACAGGTCTCTTTGGAAGGCTCTAACTTTGCTGGAAACAAGAAATAAATTGCCCAAATGTTGCTTTGAAATGTTGATTTAAGCAGTTTAGATACATATTTTTAGAGATGAGATTCTTCATCAGGTCAAAGTTTAATGTTCGATTCAGACTAAAGTTTAGAAAAGGCTGAAAACAAAGACTGAGCTGAATGTTTGTTTCCTGAATAACAATACAAGAAAAAGTGGATGAGGAGCGAAACGTCTTCTGTTACAAATAAAGTCCAGTTGTTTTTGTATTGAACGCTTTTTGAATTCATCATGTCCTGGATGACTGAGAATCTTCACCAGCATAATACAAGAAAAAGCTTGTTTGGGTTGCCAGATATCAGCAGGTGTACATGGCGCCCGAGCTCTACGGTCCTCCTCACAGGTGGGCCCACCCACCTGTCCTTCCTTCAGGCTTTACCTTGACCACCAGGTGCTCTCTGTTAGTTCTGCCCCTAGGTCTGCCTCCCGGGAGGCACCCGAGTTTCTTGTTTATCGTGAAGTTTCCAGACGTATCCATCAAGGTTTTTAATTTACCGCAGGTGGAGGAGTTCAGGCGGTGGAATTCAGGTGGAGAAGTTCTGGTGTCTGAAGCTTCTGAGTGATAGGAGGACGGAGCGGGAGATGTTCGGAGCCTCGTCCTCAGTAATGAGGATGTTGCTTTAGTCCATTGTAGTGAAGACACCATTAAGTCTATCTGGTCTACATTCCAACCCTCAGCTGTGGTCATGAGATTTGGATCAGGACTGAAAGAATCAGATCCAGAATCAGAGCAGCTGAAATAGTCTTTCTTTGTGGGGGGTGGGGATGAGGGCTCAGTCTAAAGCCCCCAGTATACTGCCGCGTACATCCATACGCAGAGGTACGCACGTACCCCCCAGGGCATGTCCGTGCAAAGCTCAAATTTTTACGACCGCGTACGCGGTGTCGCACAATAAACTGCCCGGCGACGGACTGTTTTGTATGCGGCACCAATGTATAAAATTCCTCTTCTTCATCTCTGATCTGGCCTTTTCTTTAGTTTTTTTTCCAAGAGGCAGTGATCTCTTCCTCCTCCGTTGATGCAATGACTGAAATGGTGAGAAATGAAGGAATTTGTCACGAGCAAATTAAACTCAGGTCCAGGGTGGCTGCGGGAGGGTCTGGAGATTTCTGATGTGTGGGCTGTAGAGCCAGTGCTCTGTTTTTTTTTTTTTTTCTAGATCTTTTTATTAACAACATATGAACACAGAACACCGCTGCGGCGCAGGCTGCCAGCGCTCGCTTTTTTTCCTTTTTTCCGACCTGTCAATCAATCTCGTAGGCGTGTCAAATGACCAATCGGCGACCTCAATTTGTCCCGAAGGTAAACGCCCCTTGTCTGTGAAGCTGCGCTGCAGCTGCTTGGGGTGTACGCTGGAGTTTAATGACTGAACCCTCTGCGTACAGTACACGTGTACGTACGTGTGAACGGACATACGCGGCAGTATACTGGAGCCATTAGAGAGGAGGAGCTGAGGGAGGTCTAAGTGGAGCTGCTCCTCTTCTGGAGTCAGCTGAGGAGGGTCATCTGATCTGGACACCTCCCTCTGGAGGTTTTCTGGGCACGTCCCCCTGGTAGGAGGCCCCGGGTCAGACCCAGAACTCTGGAGGAATTATGGACCCTCTGTGGTCTGGGACCAGCTCAGGGTCCTTAAGGAGGAGCTGGAAAGCCTCTGGGAAGGATCACAGAGAAAGACCTGGCTCCATGGGAGGGGTTATCCTCCAGATTGATATTTTTCAAATAAAATAATAATAATAAAATAAATATTAAAATATTAAAATAATAATCTGTCAGAAACATAATCCTACATTTAGTAAAACATTTGAAGCTAAAACTGAAACCAATGTCCTCCTCCAGCTCCTCTCGTCGAGTTTCTGTCCAACATTAATGACCTCACGGTTTGGTGGACCTGGTGGATCAGGTGGACCCAGTGGACCCGGTGGACCTGGGCCATTCTGATTCCTGTCTCTTTGTAAACGTCTGTCTCTGTTGGTCCATCACGTCTGTCCCTGACCCGTCTCAGCTCGTGGAAACATCCCCTCAGCTGCTGATACAGGACTCTAAGAGGAGGAGACGAGGAGAGGAGCCTCGACATGAGCCCGGCCCGACTCTGCGCTCATATTGGCTCTGACAGGTGGCCCAGAGGACCACATGAAACAAACCGGCTGAGTTCAGAGCGAAAAGCCGAAGACTCACAGGAACATGTGATTGTACTGTCAGGAACGCAGCCGAAGAGATGTCTGATCTGAGACTGAGATAAGTTCTGCTGCTAGTTCCAGATCCTCACAGAGGCAGGGAGGATGAGAGAACACCGCCTCGGGCTGAGAAACCCAAAACAGCCAGGAGGAAAGAGGGTTAAGGTCAGACCATTAGCTGGGATCAGGTTTTTAGATGGGATAAGATCGGTAGCTGGGATCAGATTGTTAGCTGGGATCAGGCCTTTAGCTGGGATCAGGTCTTTAGCTGGGATCAAATCATTAACTGGGATCAGGTCTTTAGCTGGGATCAGATCGTTAACTG